TTTAAAAGTAGATTTAATAATCTTTCTTTTTATCTCATGTTTATACTTTTTAGAAGTAGATTCAGTAATGTATCTTTTTGTCTTATCATATCTGTATCTTTTTTTGAAACAAAAACCTTGAATCTAATCCCCTTTGTTCAACTTTCTTCCTGATGGTAACCAACAGCATGTTATAACCAGTCTTCTTAAACAATGACAAATATCCATAACCCATTGAATGACAAAAATCTACCTACTCCACCTCTTGAGAATGTGGGTGTTCTGGTGTTGTGGGCATTCTTCCTGCCAGCCTGGTCCCAGAGCTGGATCAACCCCAAATAAACACGCAGACGTCATATTTGTTATGAAATTGTTGGCCGGTGACTAGGGCTTCTTATTGGCTATATCTGTCTTAATTATTAACCTATAACTACTAATCTATGTATATCTACATGGTCTTCTCTTACCGGTGAATGAATAGGTACCTCTGAGTCCTACATTGTGACTCATTCTGCCTACTTTTCCCAGGATCCTTCTCTTCTCCTAGTCCTGCCTATCTTGCTTCCCTATTGACTTTATTCATCAGCCAATAATACAAGCATATATACAGAAGACATCCCCATCATTTCCTCTTTTCTTTTTCTTTCTTTCTTTTTCTTTTCTTTTTTTTTTTTTTTTTTTTTTTTTTTTTTTTGTTGTTGTTTTTGTTTTTCAAGACAAGTTTTTTTCTGCAGGTTTGGAGACTGTCCTGGAATTCTCTTTGAAGACCAGGCTGGCCTCAAACTCACAGAAATCCACCTGCCTCTGCCTCCTAAGTACTGGGATTAAGGGCGTGTGCCACTACCACCCAGCTTCATCTCCTCTTTCCTGTCTAAAATAAAAGAAAGTTTTTAACTCTAACAGTCAAATTATATATGACAAAAAATTATTAAGCAAGAACTATAACTATAATATTTAGTCCATTAACATTTAGCAAGTTTTGAAGAAAATATTCCATCATCTATCTTAGTTTGTGAGTCTAAAGTCTTTTATGTAACTTACCTTTAATCCTAACTAAGGAAAACTATAACCATAACTGTCTTCAACTCCATCAAAGACTACAGAAGGATAGTATATAAAGTCTAGAATTGAAAGAGACATTCGATACCTGGGCTACCTGGACAGTCACCTAAAGTTCTTCTGTAAATTTGCACATCCATTGAAAGACCCGAGAGTGTGGACCTTCACGCTCTGACTCAGGAAAGGCAACACCCCAAATCATTCACGAGAAGCATGAGGACTTTTTATTCCTAGTGCACTGGGGTCCACAGTCATATGCCACGCAGGGGTAGAGGACTGAGGACCCCAATGCAGAATTGAGACAGCTTTTATAGGGTTTACAACAAAGCCTGTGCATCGCAAACCAATTATTACATAGCATCAAGAGCCTGTGTGGAGCAGACCAATAAATTTAAACCATTTTATAGTTTTTAGACTAATCATTTTAAATCATTTAAGCCCGTGCTTTATAGACCAATCAATTTTCTATAGCCCCAAAGGTCTACATTTTCACGGGCTCCTGGGTGGGGTAACAAATAGTTAGGATAGGTCACTGGGGTGGGGGTTTCACAAGCAGTTTACAAAGTCAGATAAGCGTTATTCAGCTCATTTCCCGTTACCTTACTAGGCCAGGATTACATACTCAGGGCCTGACTGTCATAAGCAGCAAGGAGTATGACCTTGACTATTTACTGGCATTGGACAGGGTCTGGAATTTGTGGTTTTCAGGGCTTCTTGGATAGTATTTCTAAACTTTTAGCCTGCTGGGGTCATTGGAGAGTTAGGCTGTATTTTTCCATCCTTTCACCATCTTCAGCCCATAGGGCATAGTGTGTCTGGCAGACTTCTCAGCAAAGCAGGAAATTTTAAACTATTCACCTGTATTGGCAATTTGTCAGTCATTTTTTCTTTGTGTTCTGCATCCACAAAGCAGGAACCCTTCAAGACTTTCCTGTTTTACAAATTCAGCAGTCACTTTCCTATGGGTCCTGCATGTCCAGTCTATACAGTAAACAATCAAACAGTCCAGACAAGAGCAGTTTCTTGCCCAAATGGCTATTTTTGTCATATTGAAGGCAAACTCCATAATGAGTTTCTTCATTGCCTATCTTCCTCCCTGAAGTAATTGGTGTTGCCAGGAACAGTTGTGTCTCATTGTCATGAAAAAACCCTAAACCATTTTAAATGCCATATTCTGTAGGTCCATATATCATTGTGGTTGGGGTTTTTGTTGCTGTTGTTGTTATTGGCTTTTTGGGTTTGGGTTTGGTTTTGGTTTTTCAAGACAGGATTTCTCTGTAGCTTTGCAGTCTGTCCTGGAACTCCCTCTATAGATTCACAGAGATACCCCTGCCTCTGCCTCCCAAGTGCTGGGATTAAAGGCGTGTTCCACCACACCCAGCCAAGTATTATGTTCTTAAAGGTACTTCTTGCTGTCTGGGGACGATGGCATCTTTAGGGGAACCTTAAAAGAAAATTTGGGGGTTAACTGTCAAACTGCCTTATTTTTGTTCAGCCTCTGCATAATGTGAAAGGGCACAGCTTGTCTCAAGTCCTGGCTAGAGTAGTCTAGATGGGTCATCTCAGCTGGTCTCCTGGAAATTGTTCTGAGCAGTGTGTAGACCAAAGCTGATCTTTTCGTTGGTGCTGTTCAGATTGTTCAGTTTCATGGTGTTATCATTGTCCTGGTGAAATTGTTAAATTGTTGTGGTGTTCCTTCTTCATTGTCATTGTTGGAGAGAGAGAGAGGAAGGGAAGAAGGGAGAGGGAGGGAGGGAGGGAGGGAGGAAGGGAGGGAGGGAGGGAGGGAGGGAGGGAGGGAGGGAGGGAGAGGTTTTCTCTAAGTTAACAGTCCTGGCTGTCCTAAAACTCACTTTAGATCAGGGTAGCCTCAAACTCAGATCTTCATGCATCTACCTCCCAAGTGCTGGTATTAGAGTATGTGTGTGATCTCCACCCAGCTTGGATTCAGTCTTCTCTCTGGAGACTTCATTAGGTCAGATCATTTCTTTTCTTGGTAATTTTTTTCCAGATAATTCTCCCTTCTTATTTGGATGTTTATTTATCTAAGGGTTTTAAATTCCTCAAGAAATTTGTTTTTATTTTTCTGAAAAGACAAAAACAAAACCCTTTCCCAACACTAACTTTGGGGAGGTTCCTAATCTAATCCTTATCATTTTTGATCTAGGACTTCTACATTTTTTATTTGAGCTTCTAAAGGTAGGTCTTCTTTCATGCAGAACAATATGTTTCCTTTCAATAGGCATTAGGGTATTTAATTATTTTGGGAAGGAATTTCATCCACAGTAGCAGAAAACAAATGAACTGGTGTTGGAACAGGGGCTTTTGACAGGTGGCAATACAATAATCTTTAAATATGTGTTTTTCTTCTGTTTCATATCAGGTGGTTCTTCTGATATGAGACAGAGATTTTTTTATTTTTCTTTAACAAGCATGCTTGTGTTTAGAGAAGGAGAGAGCCACACTCCCAACTCCAAAGCCAGCTTCAATCTTTAACTGAACTACAAAAAGACCATTTGTATTATATGTCTGTAGAGAAAAACAGAAACAAACATTTGGAAAGATTTACAAAATTTTATCCTGTTGGAAATACAACATACAAATAGACTAATTTACTCCTTTCCTTGGAACAGTTTTTCTGGATTATTTGTTCCTTTATTGTCCAGTGGAATCTGTATTTCTTAGCTGAATACCTTTAGTCTCCTGAAAAGACAAAAATAAAATCCTTTCCCAATCCTAATTTTTTTCTTTTTCATTTTTCTGAATCCTCAGGCAAGCTTTATTAAATCATAAATAATATATCACTACGGGAAAGAAAGAAGGAAGAGAAAGCAGGCATGCCAAAGTTTAAGTTTAATGTCTTATGAGAGTCAACACAAATAAAATTGTTCTATCAAGCACCTATAAAACATCATGGAAAACCAAAACCTGTTCTCCTGCTCTGTACTGACTTTTAGCACAGGTACCACAAGCAGTTTACTTCCATTCCGATCAACCCTGAGTACCAGCCACATCTCTGTTCAACACGTCCTCCCCCAACAGCTCTGCCAGGTATGCTCCTCTAGAACTCAGTTCAAACAATACTAATCTACTGGGGTTGGAGGAGAGATGGCGCCTCACTTAAGAGCACTGGACACTTTTGCAAAGGACTGGGGTTTGATTCCCAGAACCTACATGGCAGCTCACAAACATCTGTAACTCCAATTTCAGGGAATCCAATGGCCTCTTCTAGTCTCCACAACACTCACATGGTGCACAGACATTGATGCAGGCAAAACATCCACATGCACAAGATAAAAAAATTTAAAAAGTAAAAAGGTCCATACTTTGGTTTAGGTTGATCAATTGAAACAAGCAGGCCTGTTATAAAAGCACTCCCCAGAGACACTATAGCAAAGTACATAAAACAGGGCCATCAGGGGAGACCTCTTAAGTAAGGATATGGCCAGCTGCAGCTTGGCTCCTCAGAAGTCCACAACTCTTGGTCATACCTCAGGGCTGCCTCTGGGGAACATCCAGACTGTGTCTTTGGAGTTTGGCCATTTTGTCACTCAAAAAAGAGTCTTACACAGACAGGATCATTGCTGGGTACAAAGTGCTGGTCAGGGGAAGAACTCCCTTTTTCCATCATACAGATGGGTGACTGTGGGTGATAACAGTTAATTGTCTATTTCAAAATAGTTTATCAGAGAGGAACTTGAATGGTCCCATCACAAAGAAACTGGAGATATATTTCACCCATATATTCCCCCATTTGCTGGGATGTGACCCAGTGGTAGAGTATTTGACTAGTGTATGAAAGGCCTTCAAATATATCCCCAGCACTTCAAAAATAAAAACACAAATATGCATATTTCTAAAATGCATTCATAAAATCTTACCTGTTCCTGGTCCTGTGATTATGAGCAGGCTAGAGCCCAAGCCAGTGTGAAACTCTGGGCTTCTGGGCTTCTTTGCTGCAGTGGAGCTCCTTTTGTACCCTCTAACCTATATGCTTACCATCTATCTCCCTACTCCACCCCTCACCTCCAGCTGCAGTCCATGGTGGATCTCCTTGAAGGTGTCCTGTACAGCATGGATCTGATGAAAGTACATGCCTACATCCACAAGATGGCCTCCCATATGAACACACTGGAGGAGGTAAGGGCAGGCCAGAGCCAGGGGCCCAGGGTTGCATCCCAAGGACCCTGGGACATTCTGTTTCACCTTGGTGGCCACAGAAAGGAGAACTCTAGCAGGAAGTTGGGAAGGGAAGTGTAGGCTGCAGGGTCTTGCCTTTGGTGTAGATGTCTGGGGGTTTCAAGGACCCAAGGAAGCCGAAAGCCTGGATGATGAAACTGAGGTACTTTTTGGGAGTATGAAAGTATGTTCATCAAGGTTCACACTGCACAACTCTGGAGTGCCTTTCACAGAGAAATACCATGTCAGTGGTGCCTCTGGATTGGTACAGCATCGCAGTACTGACCAAACCTTCCTGGGTTTGATAATCCCCTTCTATCTGTATGGAAGCAAAGGCATTACAGTGCAGACTGGACAGGCTGTGTGTATTCTATAGGACTACCCTCTGGGTACCTCTGAAGAAGTCCAGGCTACTTCAAGGCTTGCCTCTCCCTGGCATTGCCTGGCCTCCACCCATTTCCTGCATCTGGCCTCTGCTGAACAACAAGGGTCTAGGGACATGCCTGCCAGGAGCAGGCATGGGGACTTCCTCTCCCTGCTTCCTTTCAAGAGGGAGGCGGTAACTGAACAACCCATGTCACGGAAGGAAAGACTAACCCCTGACTAAATCCCAAACTGGGAGGTCACAGTGACTTAGAATATCTAAAACCTGTTGGATCATCTCCTCCTGGCTGATCCCAGGCCAGTTTGGGAAGCTGACATGAGAATTTTTCCTGGGCACAGTATTACCTATACATGCTCTCATACTGCAGACTCTGAGGTCATCCTCCACTGACCTTTCCTCTTATTCCCTCTGGAAATACAAACTGGATCCCCATAGCTCTGAGTCTGCTGACTGTCTCTTTTGATTTGAGTGCTGGGATCACAGGCAAGCACTATCAAACCCAGGTCTAAAAAAGTAATTTTAAATTAACAGACTATTGAAGACTTTCAGGGAATACCCTTAGACACTAGGTAACTAAATTATGGCCTAAGCATACAGTGGCATACTATGCATCCATGAAAAGGAATGAGGGATGCTTTGTAGACAGATATGTAGCTATTCCCAAATAAGCTGTTAAATGAAAAATCCAAGTGTTGAAAAAATTTGCAAATACATATATTTGTCCCTATTATAAAACATGTATGACATAACATTGTCATCACTGAAAAATAAACAAAAGTGACAGGAACTTATTTATTTATCTCTATTTATTTATTTGAGAGGGTCTCATTGTGTGTCCTTGGATGTTCTGCAGCTACTTATTTATATCAGGCTGGTTTCAAACTCACAGAGATCCACCTGCCTTTGTCTTCTTTGTACTGGGATTCAAGGCCTATGCCACCATACCTGGCTTACTCTCTCTCATCTTTTTCATTTATTAATATAAATATATATTACCTATTTTCATTCATTTATTCATGAAAATAATAATCATTAATTACCAGGTCTTATTGGACATACTTTTCTTCCATCCTATTCACTAGTGCCAGTTTTATCGCTCAAGTCTTGATGGCCAAGTTGTTGTGATCCTTTAGGGTGGCAGCTCAGAAGAAGCAAGGCCAGGAATGGCCAGGAACCCTACCCCACAGAGCATCAAGGTCAACCTGGGCCAGAACAAGGTGGTGAAAGACAGCATATGTTACCTCAGTGAGCAGCTGAAGAGCTATGAGAACCAGTCAACCATCATGATGAGCATTAAGAAGGAACTGTCCAGTCTGGATCTCCAGCTGCTGCAGAGGGATGTGGCTGCTGTTCCTGCTATTGCCCCAGCCTCAGGCCCTGACAGCAAGGCTCAGGTGAGACCTCCACTCTGATCACAGGAACAGAAGGTGGCTGGGCTTGAGGACAAAGGCTTGTATGTGTTTGGAGCCTTGGGAGAGAGCTAACAGAAAGCACAGCAAGAACTGGGGAGTGTCTGTTTCCACTTTGTGGCTAGCACAGGTAAGCACAGTCTAGGGGGACAACAAACCTAAATTCGGTTTTCATTCTTATCCTTAGTTGCCAAAGTCCTGGAAATGAGGTCATGAGAACCTTCCTCTGGCCCTAGAAGACCAAGGCTGCTTTCCTGTGGTACTGCTTCTCGCCTGTCCTGCTGGGGCTAGACCCCTGGGTGGGTATAGAGAAACTGGGGACAGTACTTCAGGAACCCTGAAGACTCCTGAAATATCATTTCACCCATGGCAGATATCATGTCTTTACATAGATTTAAAATCCCCTTGTCGTAGCAGATTGTCTTGTTCTAATTTGCTTTCAGAAGTATTGCTGTGATAAAGACCAGAAGCAATGTTGGAAGGAAAGGGTTTATTTCATCTTATAGCTGTTAGGTCACACTCCATCACTGAGGAAAGTCAGGGCAGGAACTCAAGGCAGGACCTGAAGGCCATGAAGGAACACTGCTTACAGATCTCCTGCAGCCTGCCCAGGACCACTTGCATAGGAGTAGCACCACCCATAGTGCTCTGGGACCATGAATTCTACCGTTAATCAGAAAAATGCCCATAGACTTGCCTACAAGCTGATTTGGTGGGTCATTTTCCCAATTGAGGTTCTGTCTTCCCAGGTCAGTCTAACTTGTGTCAAGCTGGCACAAAAAAAAAAAAAAAAAAAAAAAAAAAAAAAAAAGCTAGCTAGCACACTCCTTCAGACAGAAAAGTTGACCTCCTACTTTCCAGATAAGTCAGGAATAACTATCCTTTCCTCGGGTGGCACTCAGGGTGTGTCACTTGGCCAGGAGTGTAAAAACTAGCCACTGTTTGATACCCCTCAGATCAGTCATCCATTGGCAGAACACAATCCAGTAGCCTCATTTTCTGGTGATATTTTTATGAGTCCTCCTCTGAACCTTACTTCCTCACATACTGTATTAGTTCATTCCACAACTTGCAAGTAGAATTGACCTCCTGCCTACTTGGCACATGAAGAAACATGAAGAGGTCACAGGGAGAAGGGGTGACTGAGCCATAGCTGCAGCCAGCCTTCGTGACTACCAAGCCCCAGCCCTTCCTCCTCAGTTTGCAACTTCCTGTACTGACAGTGTGATAGTGGCACCTCTGGTGACTACAAGTGGGACTGCTTAGACATAATAAAGCATGCAGAAGCCTTTGCCTTGGCCTGTAGTTGGCTGCTGCTCAGTGAGATGCCAGTTCTGCAAGTGCAAGAGAAGTTCCACTTTGGCCACTGCTCAGAAGGCAGCAGATACTGTACAAGCCTTATCTGCCTGTCTCACAATGGGTGGTGTTCAAGGTCCTGTGTTCTTGTGTCAAGACAGCCTCAGAGCATTTGAGTTAGAAGTGAAAATAGCAAGGCTCACAAAATGTTAGACATGATATCCCTAGGACTAGCCAGACCAAAATGGGACTGGAAGACTTCTCAGGATGCTGGAATTTCAAGGCTAACATTCTGGGTACTCTGTAAAGGGACCCAAGAACCTCCTCCCTTTCCCATACACTAAGACCAATAAGTAAGAGAAAAAGCTAGGAAGCCTCCTCAGGAGCCAACCTGTCAGTCAAGCCAAGAGAACAAGTGGACAGGAGTTGAGAATGAATATGTAACCCTCCAGATTGCATCTCAAGCCTGCATAGGAACTAGAAAGCTGAGGGGAGAAACAGAGGCAGACTAATTATGAATGTATCCACTATGGGACTACATGGACAGTGTGATCACCTCCAGCTCTCACACAATGAGCTGCCATGTTTACTGTCATCCAAATCTGAGGCTTCTGCTCTTCCCAGGACACTGCTGGAAGACAAGGCAAAGACCTCAACAAATATGGCAGCATTCAAAAGAGCTTCTCAGATAAGGGCCTTGCTGAAGGTGGAGAACCTGAGGAAGGAGAGCATCAAGGGCAGAATACCCCACCCCACAGCCAGGCCACATGCCCTGTCCCAGTAGCAGGCTGTGGTCCGAGGCTTCACCTACTACAAGGCAGGTAGGCTGGAGGTCAAAAAAAAAAAAAGTGCCCAAGGCCACAGCTGGTGAGGGGAAGACAGTGGAGTCTATTTGAGGGATGGCTACCCCCAGAGACCCACCTACTTTTTCAGCAGCCTCAAAGTCACAGACCTCAGCACTGTTGTTTACTTTTTGGGGGTCCTTTGTTCAGTCATACACTGGGTAGAAGACCCTAGGCAGGGTTGCTGACAAGGAAATAGTAGAGGCAATACAAGAGGCCTCTCTCAGTATTTACAGGTCTCTTCACCTTTTCTGGATTTTGTTCAAAGAAATGCTGCCTGCAGGTCATCTATGTACCAGATGACAGAGTGAAGTAGACATGGGTGCTGCCCCTCACAGAGCTTACATTTCTGTTGGCAGAGCCACACCTGTGACAGTGAAGGTGGGAGAACATGGGGCTTCCGGGGAGTTATTATGAGTAGGTTTTTCCTGCCGGTCTTATTCCACCACTGTGCCAGTCCCAAATAACACACACAGATGCTGTATTAGATATAATTCTGTTGGCCAGTTACTTGTTTCTTAATGGCTAGCTCTGTCTTAAATATTCACCCATTTCTATTAATCTAAGTATTTCCACGTGATCTTATCTTACCAGAGTGAGGGGCTTGTGTTCTGCTCTCTCAGTCCACCATCTTGAATCTCCTCCCTACCACTTCCTTGTCTCCTAATCCCACCTATCTTCCTTTCCTATTGGCCAACAGTGCTTTATTCATTAACCAGTACCAGAAACATATTTACAGAATGACATCTCCCATTAGAGAGTGAAATGGGCCCTTGGGCAGCCCTCTTACTTCTGGACTGGCCTCTCCAGTTCTCTTATCTTCCTGAACAAGAGCCCACAGTCCCTGCACTTTTTCTGCCAGCTTAGTTCATGGTGTCCCCACCTGGGTCCCAGCCAAGGGCTACACAAGAAGTAACTGTGTTCTTCCAAAAGTGGGGAGGTAGGGAGGTGGGGAAGTGGGGTAGTTAGAGTCCAGTGTTCTTCAATAATTCCCTCCAATCAGATTCAGTGGTGAAATCCCAGGCACTCAAGAGGTTGAGGTAAGAGTTCAAAGTCAGCCTAAGCTACACAGTTAAAGCCTGACTCAAAAACAAAAAAAAAAAAAGGCACCTTAGACTAGGCAGCACTGACCTGTAAACTGCAGCTAGTCAATGTCAAGGCCGGAGTATTATTTTGTTGTTGTGTTAAACTTATTTATTTATCCAGACAGTATAGATGGTGCTTTCTGTTCTGCCAAGTCCTGCAGCTGATTAGCCCCAAATAAACACAGAAAGACTTAATTTATAAATTGTTGGCTGATAGCTAGGGCTTCTTACTGGCTAACTCTCTTAATTATTAACCTATAACTACTAATCTATGTATTTCTGCATGGCATTTTCTTACCAGAGAACACCTGCCACATCCTATCTTCCCAGTCTCTACATGGCATCTTTCTGGCAACCTCTCTCTGCCTCCTCTCCCCAGGATATTTCCGGCCTGGCTACTGGCCAATCAATGTTTTATTCATCAACCAATAAGAGAAACATATACAGAAGGACATCCCCCATCATCTCCTCTTTTCTGTCTAAATAAAAAGAAGGATTTTAACTTTAACATAGTAAAATTATATATAACAAAACAATTATCAAGCAAGAACTATAGTCAACAAAAATATATAGTCTATTAACATTTAAAGAAATTTAAAATATTTTATCATCTATCCTATCTTTGTGAGTCTAAAATTTTATATATAACTTATCTTTTATCAGAACTAAGTAAAACCATAACCATAACTATCTGTCTTCAACTCCATCAAAGATCTCAGCAGTATATAAACTCTAGAATTGACAGAGACATCTTGATGACTGGACACTCACCCAAAGTTCTTCTGTAATGTTGGAGTATCCATCTTCAGCCTAAAGGTCACAGTGTGTCTGGCAGACTTCTTAGTGAAGCAGGAAATTTTAAACTGTACCCCCGTATTGGTAGTTTGTCAGTTATGTCTCTGTGTCCTGCAGAATGTCTGGCAGACTCTTTCATGAAGCAGGAACCCTACATGACTGTCACATCTTGTTTTGCAAGTTCAGCAGTCACTTTCCTGTGGGTCCTGCATGTCCAGTTTATACAGCATACAGCCAAACAGCCAGGCAAGAGCAGTTTCTTACCCAAATGGCTAGTCTTGCCATATTGAAAGCAACTCCATATCAAGTTTCTTCGATGCCCATCTTCCTCTCTGAAGTAATTGGTGTTGCCAGGAGCAGTTGTGTCTCACTGTCATGAAAACCCTAAACCATTTTAAATGCCATATTCTGTAGGTCTTTGAAAGGTTTGAAGCATATCTATATATTTGAAATATATCTCTGTATGTCTAGAAAGTCTAATTAGCCTAACTATAAGTTTTCATTATTATAAGTGACTACAATCTGAATTTAATTTTACATTACATTTTTTAAAGACCTGTATAAACACAATACCTAAACAAGAGGAGAAATATACATATAACATAATTGATTTTAAATTTGAATCAATCAATCAATCCATACCAATACAAAGTATTCATTTTTCTATCATATTCCCCTTTTTTTCATTAGAAGGAGATTGGCTGTGATCATTAACCATTTATAATCAACCCCACTTAAATGAAAACAAACATTTATAATCAAATATTTGGGAATTTGGGCATAGTTCTCTACAAAATACTTCCTGCTGTTGGGATCCTTAGAAAACCCAGAAACCTGGACAAATGCTGGCTGTCCTAGTCTGCGAGGTGGTATCATTTTGGATGTTGGATCACCTGGGCCACTACTTCAGTAGGTCTTGCTTGGTCAAACCATATTAGTCTGGAAGGAATCTACAGCTTTTCGTTTTCTGTGGAAACAAAAACAAAATCTCTTTTCCAAAGTAACATGTCCTTAGACTTAAAATTAGAATTTAAGGCATTGTTAAAATATATAAATTGGATTAATCCAGCAGCATTTATAATCAGTTGCTCCTTCCTCAGCAATCAAACAATTCAAAGAACATATGGTATCCAGACTCTCTGTACTTTCTATTCTTATAGCCTTATGTGACATTTTAAAATTACTCTATTTCTTTCTTCCTTTTTTTTTTTTTTTTTTTTTTTTTTGTTTTGTTTTGTTTTGTTTTTCTTCAAGACAGGGTTTCCCTGTGTAGCTTTGGAGCCTGTCCTGGAACTCCAGGCTGGCCTCGAACTCACAGATATCCACCTGTTTCTGCCTCCTGAGCTCTGTGATCAAAGGTGTGCCACCAACACCCAGCCTATTACTCTATTTCTTTTACTTTTATTTATTTTTTTTTCAATTTTTGAAGCAGGGTTTCTCTGTGTACTTTTGCCTGTCCTGGAATTCACTCTGTAGACCAGGCTGGCCTTCCAAGTGCTGGGATTAAAGGCACACGCCATCATTGCTCAGCTACTCTATTTCTTTTTTAACCATTTTCTCCCTTTTCTTTTCTCTCCCATGCCTATGTATATTTTTAAAGACATTGTAAACCCTTTAGAGGTTTTTCATCTGAATGAGTCTTTATTGTATATCTCTATCTTTTTCTGACTATATGAGTCTTATCAGCTGAAAAACATAGTTAAAATGAAAGTAGATGTTTTAGCTGCTGGCTTTTCAACATGGCAGGGTACATTTACTGCCAACACTGGGAGCAGTGCTGCCTGGACTCCTGTCTATGCTGCCATCAAGCAGCTTGTAGTACTCTGACCATAAACCTTTTTTTTTTCTTTTTTTGTATGAGTAAAAGCTAAATCTGCCATGCAGCATGCTCTGGGGCTTGGAGAAATGGCCTCTGTCTACCATGGCGGGAATCCACCATGCTGTATTCAAGCCCGATTGCCACAGTGTCTCTGTACCATGGCCTGCATGAGACTGTGAGACTAGGATGCCCACTGAAGATCCATTTTATGTGGAAACTTGCCACACGTTGGGTGGTACTCACTTTTAATCCCAGTACTTGGGAGGCAGAGGCAGGCAGATCTCTGTGAGTTCAAGGCCAGAATGAGTTCCAGGACAGCCAGGACTGTTTCACAAAGAAACTGTCTAAAAAAACCAAACACATATTTATTTAATGTACATTGGGCTTTGCATGCATATATGAGGGTGTCAGATCCCCTGGAACTGAAGTTACAGTTGTGAGATGCCATGTGAGTGGTGACTGAACACAGATCCTCTGAAGAGCAACTAGTGCTCTTAACTGCTGTGACATCTCTCCAGCCCCTTTTAAAATAATTTTTTATTTGATTCTAGAGATTTATTTATTTTATGTGCTTTGATGTTTTGCCTGTATGCATGTCTGTGTGAGGATGCCAGGAGCCCTGGAACTGAAGTTATAGACAGTTATGAACTCCATGTGGGTGCTGGGAAATGAACCTGGGTCCTCTGGAAGATCAATCACTGCGTTTAACCACTGAGCCATCTCTCCAGGCTCGTAGCACACTTTTGTAATTCCAGCACTGGGAAGGCCGAGACAAGAAGGTCCTTCAGGCTCACTGGCTAGCCAGTCTAGCCTAACTAGTTGTCTCAAAGAAGATGGATAGTATTTCTAAGGATATCTAAAGTTTTCCTCTGGCTTCCACACACATGCACACATGTTCACCCCATATATGAACACACACATTCACACATGTGAGAGAGAGAGAGAGAGAGAGAGAGAGAGAGAGAGAGAGAGACAGACAGACAGAGAGAGAAACACTGGAAAAGAAAAGGTCCCTTTATTCTGAGCCCTTCAGGGTGTATCACCTTCTCCCCAGTCCCAGATGCTAGCCGCTGTCCTTGAATCCTGCAAACTTAGCCTGGCACAGCACAGGGCCTCAGACTGCTGACTGGGCCACTGCCCAGGCACAGCTTTGGGCATCTGACTGTGCCAAGAGGATCATGGGAACAAACCTCCTGTCCTGACAAGCTGCCAAGGCCTGGGTCCCAGGTATGGGGACAGAGTGGCCTGCTCAATTGTAGACAAAGAGGAGCCCACTCAACTAAGCCTTTGTCAGCAGTGGGAACCCAAAAGGTACAAGCACAGCTAGAGAGGTATGTGTGGGAGGTGAGCAAGGGGCAGAGGCAGGGACAGAAATCTGTGGTGTAGACTTGACAAGACACTAGCTGCATCCAGCCCTTCCTCCTTGGGGTAACACAAGGTGAAGGAGGCTTAAGGCTACCAACGTCCTCAGGACATTGACTGAGAGAAAGTCTTCAATTCTGAACAAGGAGTTTTGTCCTTGGAACTAAGTTTAAGGCATAACAGAGTTGGAGCAATGTACTTAACACTAAGGAGAAAAAAGAACCTCGTATTTGCCACCATATGTTTACAGAATCAATACCAATGTTTTAAATGCATTTCCCTCTACTCGGCACTATTGTTATGACACTCATTTTACAGAGGTGGGACATGAGGGGGTGAGGGCTTGCTCATTAAAATCTCTCCCAGTAAAGGAGTGGCAGAGCTGGGCCCCAGGCCAGGGTGATCAACAGAAAGTCTAAGCATCCTACTTGAGTCCTTTCAACTTCTCCATGATCAGAGAAGCCCCTGAGGAGTTCTGTGGCAGACCTGTGCAATACTTGGGCATGGGCACTGAGTCCTCTTTTCTCCACAGACAATACCCTCAAGGGCACTTCCTGGCTGGAGAAAATACCACCTAAGATGGAGACCAAGCTTCCAGAGTCAAACTCTGCCAAATGTGGTGGAGTTATACTGCAGGCCTCAGAAGGAGCCAGCTTGGTCCCTGACATCTCCACTTCTACCCCAACTCCTATCACGACTCCCTGGCCTACTGAGCCAACTTTGCATCCAGAAATCCCTAGCCAAGGTAAGAGAGTCTCCTAAGAGTCAGAAAAATACAACTCATTTCTTGTTTGGCTCTTGATCCAAGAATGTTCAGCTTTATAAAATTGTTTCTGTTTTTTTGTTTGGTTTGTTGTTGTTTTTGGCTTTAGTTATTTTGAGGTGGGTTCTCACTGTACCTCATTCTATCCTGGAGATCATATCCTCTTGCCTTAGCCTTCTTAGTGTTGGGATTATAGACATGTGCCACCATGCACGGCTTACTTTGAAATTTTTAATTTTTTAAAAAGAGGTGTATGTGTTTGTGTGATATGTATGTGTGTGTGAAGAGAGAGAAGAGACGCACACAGAGAAAGTGATTCTTTCCTTCTATCAATAGTTATTCTTTTTTTTTTTCTTTTTTTGAGTCAAGGTCTGCCTGTAAACCTGTAGCTTGTGTTTTCTTGGCTCTGCTAAAAGCCAGAAAATTCCAGTAAGCTTCCTATTTCTGTGCCCCTCAGGACTGGGGTAACCTACTTGCTAGAAGTATGCTGGGATCCAAACCCAAACCCTTGAAATTGCACAGCAAGAACTCTTGGCTGCTAAGTCACCCCTCCAACCCTGCATTTTATTTATTTGTTTGTTTAGCTTTTATTTATTTATTTTCAAGACAGGGTTTCTCTGTGTAACAATCCTGGCTGTCCTGGAACTCACTTTGTAGACCAGCCTGATATCGAATTCACAAAGTGTTGGGATTAAAGGCATTTGCCACCAGTTCCTGGCTCTGCTTTGCAATTTTTTATTATTATTATTTTTGTTTTGTATTGATGTTTAATAAGGATCAGGAGAAACAGATAGGCCGAATAGATGTTTATTCAGGGAGAAATAACTCACAACATAGACAGATGAACACCAGCAGGTTCCTGGTCCCAAGGATGCCTCCAGATGTACTCCTGTCCCTGAGCTCTCCGAGCCCCCTCCTCAGACTTTGTTCCCCCAGCTAACGTCTGGCCCTGTCTCCACCCACAATGGGCATGATCTATGCCACAGGTGCAGACAAGGTGAAAATCTCACTACAGTTTTGTTTTGTTTTTCAAGACAGGGTTTCTCTGTGGCTTTGGAGGCTGTTCTGGAACTAGCTTGGTAGATCAGGCTGGTCTTGAATTCACAGAGATCCGCCTGCCTCTGCCTCCCAAGTGCTGGGATTAAAGGCTTTGCATTTTTAAAGAGTTACTTGAATGTCCATGAAGATTTAGTGGTTGAAATAAAAGCTATCAGTCTTTACAGAACTATACCATTGTGCAAATGGGAATATTGTGCAGCCAGCCAGAAGTGTCATGCACTTAAAGTGAGCTGAAACATGCATATGTGGTTACATGTCAACTAGAGGCATTCTTTGCTGGTGAGAGAGCATCACTAGAAAGATTCTGGACTTCTGTGTAAATTTAGACCTTTGAGGCAATTAAAGTGGAACCACAATCTTCAGGGCACACCTTGTACAGGTCTAGCAATTAAAAATTAAGGATTTATGAATTATTTGTGAGCATGCTTACAGAATGAAAAGGCAGAATATGCACTCCCCTTCTGAAAGGAAGTTTCAGGAAAATATCTTCTCACAATTTCATATCTTTCAGTATAGAACTATAATCAGAATCAGTTTTGACATATTGATGTTTGTATTAATAAAGGGGAAAAGGTTTTGTTTACTTGAATCTTCAAAGACCTTAATATTTTTTTGGAATGTCAACCATCATTTTCATCATCATAATTTTATCTTAGGGTGACTAATAGGAAAGTTAAGCTTAGTTTAAGCTTAGTTATCTAAGACCCTCATTTCTAAATGCCTAGATAATAATTAAAATCTGCCATGGAATTAATAAATAATAAATGTCATACTCATAATGCAATGTCTATTAAAATACTTGAACCATTTTTAATACCAACTCCCCCAAAAAAGAGCTACATGGAAAAAGAAAGACTATGGAGCTGAGCGTTCATGGCATACACCTTTACTCCCAGCACTGGGGAGGCAGAGGCAGGCAGATATCTGAGTTTGAGGACAGCCTGGTCTACAGAGCAAGTCCCAGGATAGTCTCCAAAAAAAAAAAAAAAAAAAAAAAAACAATACAGAGAAACCCTGTCTTGAAAAGAAAAAGAAAAGAAGAAAGGAAGGAAGGAAGGAAGGAAGAAAGGAAGAAAAACTACGGGATACAAGTTTGTCCCCTTATAGCCTAACATAGTTTTTTGTTTCGGTTTGATTTTATTTGTTTATTTGTTTGTTTGTTTATTTATTTATTTATTTTTTCTCCTGCAACTTGCTCTGTAGACCAGGCTGGCCTCCAACTCACAGAGACCCACCTGTTTCTGCCTCCTGAGTGCTGGGACTAAAGGCACTAAAGGTGCGGTGCTACCATGCCTGGATCTTTGTCTGTTTTTATGTCCACATTTATAGCTGTAATTTGTGTCACACATTGTCCTCAGTAAATCATGGATCTGTCCTTCTGAAGGGTTCGTGATTGTCTGTGATTGCAAGTCTTCATACCCTTCTTGCTCTGGTCCAATGCCAGCTCCTTCACCCTTGTTTTACCAGAGGGGTCCTCAAGCAACAGCTGTGGCTGATATGATTTCCTCCCAACACAGCTCCTGGTGCCAGAAAACTGGAAATAACCTACAGAGCTGACACTGGGGGATGGGGAATGAATAAATTAAAAGACACAACTGTCTGGTGGCCTGGCAGTAGGACCCAGAAATCACATCGTTAAAAGGCTATTTAATGATGTAAGAAATGGGTCAGTGGAAGGAGAAAACATTTTACATAAAGCCATGTATTCTGAAGGATCACAGTTTTGTTTGTTTTTGTTTTCTTTTTAAGTCTGTGTGACTGCATTCAAGAAAAGAAGGGGAGGAAGCACTGTATATTCAAAAGTTTCTTTGTACACTGGAATTCATTTTAGCACCCCCCCTTTGTTTTGAGACAGGGTTTCTCTTTGTGGACTTGGATGTCCTGGCTGGCCTTGAACTCACAGAGATCTGCCTACCTTTGCCTCCCAAGTCCTGGGATTAAAGATGTGTACCACCACCACTCTGCTTCTTTCCTTTTTGAGACAGGGTCTTGCTATGTAGGTTGACTGGCCTGGAACTATATAGCCTAGGATGGCCTCAAATTCACAGCAATGGCTATCTTCCTAGCTCAGCTTCCACAATCCTAGGGTTACAGGCATTTGCAACACCCAGCTTTGGTTTTCAAGTATTAGGAGACATTCTGAGCTCATTCTTCTGTCAAATTGTACTTCTGAAGTTTTGGCCAGCATCTCCCAACCCCACTATTACCCACCATTCTATTCTCTGCTTCTCTGAGATGGACTCCTTTTTTTGTTTGTTTGTTTGTTTGTTTTTTTGTTTTTGTTTTATTTTTCCATATAGTGGATGCTAGTCTTTGAATGGTATACATCCCATCTGTTCTCCTTACTGTTCCTACTTTTTCTAGGCATTGCTTTGCTCATAGGCCAAAGGTCATCAACAAAACCTTTGATAGACTTAAAGTGGACTCGGAGAAGCCAGGCATGGTAGCACATGGCTTGGGACGCTGAGGCAGGTGGATCTCTTAGTTCAAGGCCAGCCTGGTCCACATAGCCAGTTTCAGGACAGCCAGAGCTACACAGTATAACCCTGTCTTGGGGGGAAAAAAAAAAAAAGATACTTGGATCACTTTCCTAGATCCACTGTTCTGGGTTGGAACTAGTGGTTCTGTATGTCAAACCTGTGTCCTTTGTTCCTCAAAGGTAGGGAGGACAGCTGTAAGGGTACCCTCAGAGCCTTGGACCCCTCTGTAAAGCACCACAGTTATGGGCACCATGAAGGGGCATGGATGAAGGACCCTGCAGCTCTAGATGACAGGCTCTACATCACCAATTACTACTATGGAAATAGCCCGGTGGAATTTTGAAGCCTGGAAAACTTCAAAAAAGGTCAGGGAAGCTGGGTAGGACAGGAAAGAGGGGGGAAGAGTGTGGTTGGCCCTTCCTATGCCTTGATTTCCAGGGTCCAGCCTATCCTAGCTCTAGGTAGCTACCTGCCCTAAGGAAGGGTGTCTGTTACCCACTGCTGGGAACTGAATATAGGGCAGAGGAGATAGAGAGAGATATATGGTTCTGCCTTGTGACTTCATGAAGCTTCTACTTGCCTAATGTTCTGTGCAATTGTCTATGTGTTTTTGTCTTAGTTTGGGTTTCTATTGCTTCTGTGAAACACCAAGACCAAAAGCAAGTTGGGAGGAAAGGGTTTATATGGTATACTCTGTGGCCATCTCCCACTTCATGTGCTACTGAAAGAATAATTTGTTTTTTTGGTTTTTATTTTTTGTTTTTCCTCACTGTGCCACCATGACTGGCCTTGAACTCACATGTAAACCAGGCTGGTTTCACATTTGCAGACATCTTCCTGACTCTGCCTCCAGTGCACTGGAATTAAAAATATGCACCACCACAGCCAGAGAAAGGACACACTTTCTCTGGGATCAGAGATGAGGAATGGGACAGAAACAGAAGTGAGAACAAGAAGAAATGTTTCTGGAGAAATACTGTCATGAACTGGGAAATGGCCTCGGACAGTCCTTGAGCACACATGCCTCAGATGCCAACCACTCATCTTTGCCTCTCATCCCAGGACACCTCTCTATTCCTTAGATCGATTGATCTATCTACCTACCTACCTATGTGTGTGGGCTTGGTGTGTGGATGCATGTGGAGGTCGGAAGACAGCCATTTAGGTGTCAGTCCTAACCTTTTTGTTTCTGTTTTTGGCCTTTTGAAACAGGGACTCACTATTTAGCTCTAGCTGTCCTGGAACTTACTATATAAACCAGGCAATTCACCTGCCTCTGACTCTTTTTGGGGGGAATAGGGACAGGGTTTCTTTGTGTAACTCTGGCTGTCTTGAAACTAGCTCTGTAGGTCAGGCTGGCCTCAAACTATAGATATCTGACTGCCTCTGCTGGGATTAAAGGTGTGTGCCACCACCATCCAGCCCTCCCCTTGACTCCTGAGTGCTGGGATTACAGTGGTCACCACTCCTGGCTTCTGCCTTGCTTGAAATAGGATCTCCTTGCTGGTGGCTGGCCCACAGACTTCTGGAGGTTTTTACTGTCTCCACTGGAGTCTTCACAAACAATTGCATTACTATGCCAGGTTTTATGTAGGTTCTGAGATAGATCCAAACACCTGTCTGCAGATTTTTATGGACAGTGATTTTTTCCAAACAAGCCTTCTTCCAAAACTCATGCTTCCCTGTTTGTCATAAATGCACCCATTCCTTTTATAGAAATAGTTCTTTTTCCCAAATAAGCTTTTAGAAGCTGTTAACAAAAAAAAGAAAGAAAGAAAGAAAAAGAAAGAAAGAAAGATATTGCAGCTGTTAGCCAAGCAAAAACAATCCTTTTTTTAATTTTAAGGCAAAAACTTCATTTTACAATAGTAAAAAGAGAGATGGTATCACTGATTACATACAAATAGACAGTGGCTGCACACCACTTGAATTCAGGCAGTGCTGAGGGCATTCTAGTGTGTGGCTTGCTGGTGGAATCCCAAGACCACCTTTTAATCCCCAGACCACACCTGCCCTGTGTTTAAAAAGAAGGGAAAGTGTGGGACTCTTAGAAAAACAAAATATATTGACTAGTGAGATGGTTCAATAGGTAGCCTGATGGTCTAAAACCAATTCCTGGGATTCCAGACTTAAGGGTCCTTTACATGGTGGCTTGGGTACATACCACCATGGAGCACTTAACTGATTGTAGTGCCCCCCCACCTTTAAAAAATATTGACACAGTTTTATTTTATGTGTATGGGTATGTTCCCTGCATGTATGTAGGTGTGCCATGTGCATGCTCAGTGCCCTTGAAGACCAGAAGGGGGCAACAGATTCCCCTGTAACTGGAGTTACAGATAGTTGTGAGCTGACATATGGGGGCTTGGAATTGAATTTGGGTCCTCTGGAAGAGCAGTCAGTGCTCTGAATCCCTGAGCCATTGCTCCAGCTCCTATATAGACATTCTTGGATATGTTCGGCTGGGCTATGCTTTCCATAACTGCAGAGACCTTTTCATATCAGGAAGCTAGACCCTGTCCCTGGAGTCCAGGGCCTCTGGAGCTATACCCTCACCCTACACAGGGCTGACCATCACCAATGCACATAGAATAAAAATGAATAATAAAGAGGCTGGAGAGTTATCTCAGAGGTTAAGAGCACTGGTTGGTCTTCCAAAGGTCCTGAGTTCAATTCCCAGCAACTACATGGTGTCTCACAGCCATCTATAATGAGATATGGTGTCCTCTTCTGGCAAGTAGGCATACATGAAGGCAAAACACTGTATGCATAATAAATCTTAAAAAGCAAACAAACAAACAAAAAGGGCAGAGGATTTAATTCAGTGGTAGAGTCCTGGCTTTGAGTTCAATACCCAGCACTGCAAAAATAAATACATAAATAAATAAAATTTCTTTAAAAAGTGAATAATAAATCATTTATTTGAACAAAAGAATGTTTGTTTATTAGGCTCATATATTTGAATGCTTGGATTAGTAGGTGTGGCCTAGTTGGAGTAACTGCACCACTGGGATGGGCTTTAAGATTTCAAAAGCCTATGCCAGGCCCAGTTCAGGATGTAGCTCTTAGCTACTGTCTCAGTACTTGCCTGCATGCCACCATGCTCCCCACCATGATGAACATGGACTAAATTTTCAAAACTGTAATGCTTTCTTTCATAAGAGTTGTCTTGGTCAAGGCATCTCTTCACAGCTATAGAACAGTGACTAAGATACTTATCTATCCTGCATCCCTCTTGGCATTTGGGTCCTACTAAAATGTCACCTTAGTCCCTTAAGGGAGGATCTAAATTTGGCCCAGTTCCCATGTTCTGTCTCTGTTCAAAAACCAGTATCTATCAATTTACTGGCTAGAGGATCCACCAGAGTCAATTCTCTCTACCAGCATGAGAAAGGTCTGCCATCCACTAAGTATCTGGGTCAGATCCTTATACAGGTTCATATAGCCCCTTGGTGCTTGACTCCAAGGTCATGACCACCAAGTAAGATATATTTCCTTAATTTATGTATGGGGTTTGTTAGTTTGTTTGTTTCTCTGTGTAGCCCTGGCTGTCCTGGAACTCACTCTGAAAACCAGGCTGGCCTTGAACTTCAGAGATCCACCTGCTTCTGCCTCGTGGGATTAGAGGTGTACACCACCAGCACCTGGCTCCTTAACTTATTTATGCAATAGTATTTATTAAGATTATCCAAGAAGCTGCTCAGGCTACACAAAACTTTAGGATAGAAAGCTTGTAGTTAGTTATGATCGTATAGTGGCATAGTATGGTGTTTAGTACTTTGTCAGAATTGGATTAGTAGCTCATTAAAACTTTATTGATTAATGTTAAGACTATAAACAGTAGCATAATGAGAGAGAGAGAGAGAGAGAGGAAGAGAGAAAGAGAGAGAGAGAGAGATCTGGAACATGTTTCATTCATTTGAATGTCTCAAATCACTTTTTTGTCATCACTTAAGCCTTTTTCTACCCAGACCTTCATATATCTTACTCAGATCTTCATAACTTTCATTTATCTACCTTGTTAGTCTTTCCCATTCTCAGACCTTCATAAATAAAGCATTTTAAATGCCATATTCTCTAAATCTCTGAGCATTTGAGGGCATTTGTCTTTAGTTACTTGCCTTAAGCACATAGGTGGCTAGGTAAGGCTTTATCCCTGAAATCAATTAATCTGTATTTAGTATGGCTACAATGACCTTAGTGATGGATCTGTCTGGAAAAATGGATTGAAGCTGAGAGGCTGTAGAGGGATGTATTTTTACTATAACTGGCTTTAACTTAGCAGGTTAGATTTATGTCTGTAAAGGATAAAGAAGTAGAGAAAAATCCCCTTTTGTAATAGAAGCTTAACCTTTATAAACAGTTTACAGGAAGGACTGGGTGGCATAAATATTTTGTTAATTTGAAATAGACCTTTATAACCTTAAATGTTTACTATCATTTAAAGATACGTAACAATTTAGAAATATTTGAGACATTACAGTTGAATTTAAATTGTATATAGAGTTAGCTTACATTCACATAAAGTTAAATTTAAATCACATGTATAGATGGATATACACAGATATATCAAACAGAACTGGGTAAAAGTAAGAAGAAAGAAGCAGGGTGTGGTCTCTGATTTGTACATTGTAGCAAACAGACAGGACATTTAAAGATATAGAGTAGACTTAAAACTGCCAGAGACAAGAAAGTAGCTCTGCTGTAAATGGACCAGGCAAGGTTTTTTCTTGAAATGTGTACCCTACCGGTCCCTGGAGAGGCATACCATTTTGCAAACAAGCCATACACAACAGAGTCAGTGAAAGAAGAAACTAGAGACAAAGAGTAAAAGGCAAAAGGTAAATGAATTTTGTCTGGCAAAAGCTGGATAGACTGTCTCTCTGCCTAAGGGGCTGGTGCAGCAGAGGGAAGAACCATGTGGGGTGAGGCTAGGCCATGTGGTCAAGATGGCAGCTGCCATAAACACATTCCCGACTGCTGGCAAAAGTTAGAATGTTTTGAGATATAGCCGCTGGTATCTGTACAGAGAAGAAGCATGGTAGAAGGACAGCAGAGATAGGAAAAACAGGAGCATAATATGCCTAGCAGAACAGGACATTTTTAGGTGGGGGGAGGTTTCTGCCCAGAGACAGGTTGCAGCTGCTGCAGGCAGGAGAGTGTTAGCATGCTGGGAAGAAAAGGGAAAAAGAAAAGTTTAGTATAGAGGTAGAAAAAAGATTGGATATATGGTAACTCCTTCCATTTACCTGTCCCCTGACAACTGGTGAAAGATTTAAACTAACAAAGAAATGAAATGGAGCCCAAATAATTGGAAGACAGGACAGTCTGACCCAGAAAGCTGACCAAGGCCACTGTGACTTAGTTCCTGGAATTTAC